AGTTTGACGAATGGAAACTAATTTTGCACTAAGCTAAATCCTTTGGAATTTAAAACTTTCATTCTATTTTTAACTGCAATGTTATCGAGAAATATTTTGAACGAATATGGATCCATTTGTTGTAAATTTAATCTGAAAACTTAAAGTATGTAGCTATTAATTCCGCTAAAATGTTAATTATTTTCAGTCTGGACAACGTATAGAGTATATGCAAGGATTAAATTTATAAATATGTTTGTTAAAAATTAAATTAAATAAAGGGGACAGAAGAATTTCTAAACTAATTTTGAAAATCATCACTCTTATTTTACATTATATTACTTAATTTTTAAACTCATTTCGCACTAAGCTAAATCCTTTGGAATTTAAAACTTTCATTATATTTTTAACTGTAATGTTATCGAGAAATATTCTGAATGAATATGAATCCATTTGTTGTAAATTTAATCTGAAAACTTAAAGTTTGTAGCTATTAATTTCGCTAAAATTTAAATTATTTTCCGTCTGGACAACGTATAGAGTATATGCAAGGATTAATTTTATAAATATGTTTACTAAAAATAAAATTATCTAAAGGGCTCAGAGAAATTCTAAACTAATTTTAAAAATTATCACTCTTATTTTACATTATATTACTTAATTAAAGACAGACAGTAAAGAAATTTCAATAAAAGAAACGTTTCTGATATAAATATGAATATATGTTTCTGTATATAAATATTTTCAAAGGAAATTAAGAATCATAATTAAAAAATGCAAATTTATCAAATTTCTAATGCACGACAACTTTTTTTTTAAAGAATTACCTTGTTTGAATATCTTTTTTATCTTTTTATTTACATAGTTATAACCAATAAAAAAGTAAAGTATATATTTTACATATTAAAGTGAAGCATATATAAAAGTGAAGAATATATATTTTTTCAATATTTGCGATTATATTTAGTCAAAAAAAGGCACGTGATTTTCTTAGTTGAGAAATTTTATTTTAAATATAGTTTTCAACAGCTGAAGTTAAAATAATTATTCGCTTATTAAATATAATATGCACAGATTTATAGCAAAAAATTTAAAGTGCAAAGAATAATTTAGGCAAAATAAGTTTAATCTACTAGAAATATAAGAGCATGATAAAAAGTAATAAAAAATAACAGTACTCAAAAGAATTAATTTGAAAAGAAAAAACTAAGTGGGACAACGAACAGCCATATTCAGCACTTATTTTATTTATTTGATTAACTTTCTCATTTTTGTAAAATTGACTGCTTACTGAAGCTTTAATAAATTTTAAAAAATGACATTTTTGAAGCTTGGATACTCCATTACAGTAATTTTCGCCGGAATAAGCAAAACTGCACAGCGACTACTTTTATTAAAGAGCCTCTTCTAATATTTTACTTTTTTTCATTTCTTAGCTTTTTTTCTAAATTTTTCAGTTAAATATAAATAAATTTTATGATGCTTAAAATATTTTTAGCGAAAATTTAGTCTGACTTTTTTATTTCAGAAATTTTATTTTAATTGTATTTTAACAATTCAAATTCACATCATGCTTATTAATTTTGATATGCATTAATTTATAACAAAAAGTTTTAAATCTAAAGAATAAATTTAGCGGAACAACGTTAAGCTGCTTAAAGTACAAGAGCAAAACGCAATGAAAAAAAAATAATAAAGCGTGCAGAACTTCAAGAACTAAAGAGAAAAGAAACTACTTGGGATAAACTAAAAACCAAATTTGGAAGTCTTTTTATTTATTTAGGATTTTCTATTTCTTTTCTTTTTCTTTTTTTAAGTTTAAGTGCTCACTGAAGCTTTAATGAATTTATTAAAACATGAACTATTTTATGTTTAATTTTTTTAACATCAATGAAATTGTTACATTTATTGGCATTTATTGTATTAAATGACATGTAGTGTAGATGTTTCTTTCACTTCAAAAAAATCTCGTAAAATAAATTTTTGAATCATAATAACTCAATTTAGTTTCTTATCTGGATAAATTAAAAAAGATTAAATGAATAATTAGTTAAAATGTGATTTTAACGTTATAATAAATCCATGACTCAAATGATTTATGAGCTGAATCGCTTAATGGAAGAAATTGTTAAATAAAAATTTCGAAATACTCGATTTTAATGTTTCAAATACATGATTGATTGCGTTTATCATACCACTAACTGATAAAGTAATTTTCAATGTTATTTCCATAATAGTTTTAAGACATTTTGATGTATACTGAATCTGCTGCAATCAAGCTCATCAAAATATTGTTTTATAGGTTTATAAGGGAACTTTATAAGGGTTATACAAATACTAATAAAACGTGAATAAGCGGCATTGCTATAATTCAGAGATCTAGAGAGATGTTGAAATTTTGCATGGCAGCAATCTAAAGTCAATTTTACATGGTTTTATACTTAGCTGTTTAATTTAAAAATTATATTTTAGAAATACTGCTGTGATTGCAGCGCTGTCATTGGGATTATAAATGAATGTGGGAATTAATTAATTATTTCAAGTGACAGATTTTATAATTTTTTATACAGTTCTCCAGTTTTTAATATGTATAATAGTTACCCACTTGCAAAGGGTAAGCAAATGGTAGTATTAGAAATACAACAGTGAATGCAGTGACGTCATTCGAGATTATAAATGAAGGTAGAGACTTTCTTAAGCAGTTTGCCTGAGAGCAATTTCAGGTGAAGAAAGGGATGCTAAAAATTAATGTCTGGGACAGAAAAAATGTGCAAGATTGCTGTTTCAGTAGCCGTGATTCTGAGACATGCAGGCAGATATCACTATATTGTTTATGGTGAACAATAAGCAGGGTGAGCAGTTACGAAGAAAAAAGATTTTTTTTATTAATAGTGGGTATCACTACTGCCCCAAGACTAGAACCTTCCAAGACCAGAACAAACAAACACCCTGGTTTCCAATAAGGCCATTTTAGCTGTAGATGAAATTAAAAGAGATGCAGCTGGTGACATCTATGCTGTAATCTATCTGAGCAGAAAGATGACACTACCAGCTCCTACTGTCCAAAACCGAACTGGTTTTCTTTCAAGTGCAATATTACTGCTTCAGTGGTTGTAGGAGATAGTAATACCCAGTTAGTTATCGCCAAACTGTTTATGGAGGACAATAAGTAGGACTTAAGGCTGTGAACAAAGAGTGAGAAAGATTTTATTTAAAGCAGATATTAGTACTGTGCCAAGACCAGGAACTTACGAAATCAGGACAAGCAAACACCGTGATTTCCAATGAAGCTATTGCTGCTGTTGATGAAATTATAAGAGATGCAAATTGTGGCATCTGAAAAGCAGAAGACGTCTGAGAAGGATGGCACTTTCAGTTACAAATCTGAATGTTTTGTAACTGTCTGTTACGAAACATTCGATTTGGATGTTCTGTTTTGTGCGTATTTATCTTTAGCAAGGTTTTTCATTCACTTAAATTCCTCTTCTGATTTGAACTAGCTAATTAGTTGCATCTGTCTGCGGTGAAATTCCCCTGTTTTCTTTACGGCTATGGATGATGAGATTGCTATCATTTCAATTCTTCCGAATTTGTCACAGATACACACTTTTTATTTGACCCATCTTTATATAAAAAATTTTTTGAATTTTATTTAACTTTGATTATTGAAGGAATCTAATGATCTTTTGAACTGCGAGAGTAAATTTTGTAGTAGGTCATATTTCGCAAACACAAGTAATGGTCAATAATTCAAGAAAACCATCTACACCATGCAGGAAGACCATCCACTTTGTATTCCAGAACAATTAAACAAAGACATCTGAGTTATCCCACTGTTATCACACTCACTGTCAAGTTGTTGAAAGGGAGAGTAAGTGATAAGAGAAATACAATTCATGCTTAATTTCCCATATGGGGCCCAAGGAACAGTAAGTTCACTATAAACTACTTACAATGATTTTTTTGAATCAGATTTTGACAGGTGACATGTAATTATAGTGAAAAATGGTTTTAAGGATTACATTCCACAGAGAGAATCTATGAAGAGTCATAATTCTTTTCATTATGCATAATTTCATTACAAAATTTGAATAATTTATTTATTCTCATAAATTAATATAAGGTAATCATATTTTATATTTAGTGATACATTAAATAAATTTAAATTAATTAATGAAAGGGAAGCTGTAAAAAATAAAGAAAAGTTGCTCTTGTAAAGAGAACACACTCAGATATAAAACTTTCACTTTTGGCAGTTTAGTAATTCCTGATCTGCATTTTATTTACTTTGAGAATCATTTCGTCACGATATCATGCGATTTGGGAAGAGGCGAAAACTCTCAAATATATGACGGAAACGTTTCATCAACTTGGAACCTCAGCACAGTGCATTGTGGAACATAGTTAACTAGAATGACGGAGTTAGAATTAAGACTAGAGAAACAAAATTAGAAAGATGAATGAAGCTGATTGGCTATATAGGAGTCAAGGATTTAGCTTCATAACATTGAAATCCAGAGTTCGAATCCCGCTTTGGGCGTGGAACAATTCATCTCTCTGTTCTATCTGTCTTTCTTATGATGTTGGGGCAACGTTGATCCAACTTTACGCAGATCAACAATACAGTCCGTTAGATGCCAAAAGTCTTTTAAAGTATTCTGCTTTTTGAAGGAAAAAAAGTAATGAAATATTTCTTTACTTTTAGTGAAATTCGTTTCCTCGAAGAAGTGTCAATTGTTATATTTCGTCACTTTGACGAAATGTTCACTCGGAGCATATGCCTGGAAACGGTTTCGTAAAAAGGAAAGAGAGTTTTGTGAAATTTGAGTTTCCATTTTTTACAGTGAACTGCTGCAAAATGGATTAAAATATATTCAATTCAAGGTTTCTATTGTGTGTTTCAAACGCAGTTACAGGCTTTCAGAAAACACTTGCTTGTTACTTTCAAGCAAAAAGTTTTTTCAAATCATTGACTAAAGTTTGTTAGAAATGATATGGATTAAAAAAATTAAATATCTTACCAAAATACTTGTAACAATATACGTTTTGTTTTCGAAACCAGTATTTTGAGGAATTCTCTTGTAGTTAGGAGGAACTTGTTGTAATCCTTCGTTATCCGACCAATACGCAATCTGGAAAGAAAATTATCACTCGCTTAAAAATTTAAATTTTGTCTGATAAGTTCTGCTGAATTAAAATATGAATTTTAGATGATGCACCAGCCATATGTATTTTCAAGTTTTAGCATTTTCTTTTAAAACTATGAATGCGTTATTAAATGAAATAGTTCTGAGAAAAAATTCTTATGAAAGAAATAATTCTTAAAAAATTTAACTATAAGCAAACCAATGCTATTTAAATAGCATTTCTACATTAATTTGTTTAACAATTCTAGTTTAAATTTAAAAACCTTACTTGATAAAAAAATACAGATTACCCTTCCTGTCACAAAATTTTAAATTGAGCACCGTGTGAATTTAAACCGTAAATTTATTACATGTTTATTTAGGGAAATTTTTACTTCTATCATTATATATGATGTAAATAATTAATGAACTGTATTAAGCTGAAAAAAGTATTGTCAAATATACCAGAATATAGTAAAATTTACCGTGTTTCTGGCAGTATGGGGATCCCAAAAGACTCGATATTTTCTACTGAAGTTCTTTGGATTTGATTTTGGTAAAATTAAAAGCAAAATTGGGTCTTATAATAAGTGTTTAAATTTGGTAATTGTTGCATAGTTTGGTGGTTTTATAATGATACCTTAAAGCATGGCAAAAAACTATTTTTTCGGTTAATTTTACTTTTCATTCTTGTAATTTGTGCTAAATTTGTGGTAATAAAAACTATGAATTTAAAAACCAGAATTTCCGATAAATCATACGAAGTTTTCGTATGAATGGAAAGATTACCAAAATGAATGGTTCAAATATTGTATATTTTGTGTTTTATTATCGGAATTATTGCTTTTTTTAAATTGTTTTTTTTTTTTTTTTTTTTTTTTTTTTTTTTTTTTTTTNTTTTTTTTTTTATCATAAACGTCTTTACCACACAGTAGGGTAATTTTACCGGATTTTGTTCCTCCGTGTATATTTCTTTCAAACAAGGTGGGAGTAAAAGTTTACAATTAAAAGAATAGCTAATTATACAACAATGGAAGATAAAATAAATGAATTAAAAAAAATCATTCAAACACTTGGTATCCATTCACACTTACTTTGACCATTTCACTATTCATTGACATTTCCACGACATTTACTGTGTAATTTTTGCGCCATCCATTATCGTCAAATGTAATATTTCCTGTTAAACCACTTAAATCTGTCTAGAAAGACAAAAGAAAAGAAAATAAATCATATTTCCAATAATTATTTATAAAATAATTAGAATAGGTTTATTCCTAACGTAGATTTCATTATTTATTTCAGAACAAATATGGTTTTAAGTAGAACTTCATATTCATTCAGACGAATTCAGTGTAACTTGCAAATTGTTGACTAAACTTTAGAATTCTGATTCATTAAGATTATATAAATAAAAAGCAATAAATAGTCAAATTAGTACTTATTAAAAATGAACAGATCATATAATGAAAAGAAACAAATTTCGAAACCACATATATTTTCAGAAATTTTAAAATCAGTTCCTACAATTTTAAAATTAAAATCCAGTTTTATCATTTTCTTATTAAACTGTCATCATGTGTGAAACATGTCAAATGCAGGAACAGCTTAAAAGAGACATTAGATTTAAAAATAATTTATGTACAAGTATACGATAAGCAAAGACGGTCTATACATGAATTTCATATATATATATATATATTTGAATTTAACTCCGTTTTGAAGAAATTCACTTAAGAATGCCTTTTTTAATTCAATTCTTCAATTCAATTATTTTTAAGAACAATTCTTATATTAAACCTTCAAGCATTCTCAAAACTACTAAAAAAATTCCCTCATTTTTCCAGCATTGCTTTAGTTTATGTTGGTGGAATTCTAGTTTTTGTATTTACTTTCTCGCAGAATGAATACGACCGCAGAATGAATTCCTAAGTATACATTTAAAAAAAAACATTCTTATAATAAACCTTCAAACAATATCAAAAATTCTGAAACAAATTCATCCTCTTATCCAATACTGTTGAAACTTTATGTTGGTGTTTGTTCTAATTTTAGCACTTTATGCCAGACAAAAGAATGCGACCTTATGGTCCAGGAGGGTGATTATTGGTCATCTGGATTAATTGCCATAGCATAAATTATCGTGCTCACCTCAGCATGTAATAAAGATTCAGTGTTCAAATCGACATGGAAATATGACTCGATAAGATTTCAAATCATAGCAATGAAATATGCTATTGAATACTTAAAAATGACAATCAGAAAAGTAAATATGTTATTCGTTGTTTTAAGATAAAATAAAACTCAAGTAATGCAAAATACATCTGAGACACTTTAAAATTACATGTATGTGCTCTGAGAGTGTGTGCCTTGCATACAAATTGATTATTCTTCTACTTTTCATTGAAATACTGTGAAGCTAACTTTTAAATACAAATGAAAAAATGAAGATAAATATTACAGATTTGAAAAAAAAAATACCATTAAAAAAAACCAAAGAATTCAATGCAAGACACTTGACTATTTGCAACTAAAAATGACACGTCATTTTAAAACGGAAATAATATTTTTCTTTAACGAAACTCTAGGGTATTTTTCGAATAACAACCATTAAAGTAAATGTAATACTAATCTAGAGAAAGGCATAATATCCTATTGTGGAACTTGTCATGTATCTATTATTCATTTAAGATTTTTGAAAAATACTTTAGATANAACTACAAATGTTCAATACATTCATTTATATTTCATGTTTTCCTCACTTTTCGCCTCAACGGCAGATGTAAATTCCTGCAATGTTGTTGACTTGGAGAATAAGTTCAATGTAAAAAGAGTACAGAAAAACGGCTTTTAATGTCAAAACAACTATTGCATCATTAGGTGGAAGTGGATAATTATTGGGTTGTGCTCTCACAGACCAAGGGCACATATATTGAAAATTTGTAGTATATACCTGAACTTAGTACATCTATATGAAATGTTTCATATATCGACCACATTTTCAGGTTTTTAATTTGTAAACAAGTGGTTCTTTTAGAACTGCTAATCCATTAAGTCTAATTTTGTTTGTCAATCCACCAAAACGTTTAGTTAGTTATTTTCACAAGAGCATTTGTGGTTATATTGCAACTACAGCCATGTATATAGATATTAGTTTTGTTGCTTGATAAAAGTTTATTTAATGAAAGAAAACCAATGTCTTTGAGGCATCAAAAAATTTGATTCCTGAATTTGTAAAGTAAAACATAAGTTTTAACTAATGTTCTTATAATAATGTTAATGAGTTTTAACTAACTCAAAGTTTTGGTATTAATTAAAAGTCTTCATAAGTTACATTGGCATTAATTAACTGACCATTAATTAGCATTAACATTAATTAACTTAATCTGATTTACGCGTAATTTCAAAATGGTTTACAGTAAATGACTTAAATTTAAATCTAAATAAAACTAAATATATTTATTTCTGTTTAAGAAAATCAGAATTTAACTTAAATTTAAAATTTCACTCTCTCTCCCGTAAAAGTACTAATGATAATTGTCAATGCTATATTCTACAATCTGTAAATAATATCAAATATTTAGGACTATATATCGATTCTAATTTGAAATGGAAAACACATATTTACAATTTAGTTGAAAAATTGTGTTTTGTTTTAGTTAAATTTTATCATCTTAAGAATAAAATTCATTTTATTTTTGTGAAAGCACTCTATTATTCCTGGCTTCATTTTTTAATTAATTACGGTGCAATAATTTATGGCGGTGAATATAAAACTAATTTACTTCCTTTAATCTCAGTTCAGAATAAATGCTTCAAGATTATTAATTTTCTAAATATAAATAACTCAAGTATAACTACTACCAATATATATACAAGAATTAACCTATTACCATTTCGCCATAATGTATTTTTTCGTATTTTACTTTATTTACACAACAATAAATTAATATGCAAATTAAAAACTAATGTGTCTGAAAGGAGACCAACTAATATATAAGAGATTCCCCACTTTATAAAAGAAATTTCACGAAAACAGTTTTTTTACTTAGCACCTAAATTATATAATAAATTACCATTCCAGTTGCAAAATATCCAAATATATTTTTCTTTTAAGCGTGCTTTTTTTCAATTTATGATGAACATTGACGATTTAGATCTCTATTTTTCACTTAAAAGGAAGCATTTGATATTTTATACCAGTCTTGTGCCAATCCAAATGAATTTCTTATGTTACCTTTGTTATTTATTTTATATAGTTTCATGTATTTTTTTCCTTCTATTATTACAGTATTCAACAATATATGAAGTCTTATGATGAGCAAAATAATTTATGATTGTAATATCCCCCCCTTTTTTTTGAATTTCTAATTTAAATTTATTGTATTAGTTTTCTTTGTCGCCAGGACAGGATTTTCCTCTTGACGACGAATATATATTCTTTGTATTTATGTGTTTGTTTTTGTTCTCAATAAAGTTTCATTAGTTTGTTAATAAAAAAAAAATATTGGTAAATGTTCAAAAATGATTTCACTTAGTACTACGTTTAGCGGTTTAAATCCACTACCATATAAGGGGTATTTGACATCATAATTGAATCTAAAGTTTTATTTATACAGCATTAGATTTTTCATAAATATGAATAAACGAAGTTTTATGCATTTTCATTTGATAAAAAATACATTTAAAAATATTTTTTCCATTAAAATATATTATTTTATTTGCATGTAATGATTTAAATATTTTATACGTGTAAATTATACTTTTTTATACCAAATATCATCCAATACGTCCTAGTATGCAATACTTATTAAATAATGTTATTCCCTTTATTGCAATCTAGCTATTCAAAATGAATTTCAGTTCAAAAGGTTTAGGATAATATTAAAATGGATCTCGTTATTTTTTTTAAACTTTCATAAATAAAAAAGCATGTTCAAAGAATATGTATTTCACTCAAATATAAAAATTACTTATATAAATTTTATCTTTCAAACAAATAAAAAAGTAAATTTTAAACTGCAAAAAATAATACCAACAGTTTTTTGCAGGAATTTTAATTCAGAAAAAATATGGTTTTGTTCAGTAAAGAGTATTTATTAAAAAGCAATTCCTGCTTCAAGCGATTCCTTGTTATTAAAATAAACTTTAAATTATCTTTCATATTGAATTTCAATTTCAATTCATAGAAGAAGCACTCCAATATTTCTGATGATATAAATATATTAAATTTGTTTCTAAAATAGCAAATAGATTTACTTTCTCGCTAAGCTGATTGCTTTTCCATTGTATATTGATTAGATAAATATAGTTATAGTGAAAAGAAAAGTTTTTAATACGTTGAACAAAAATACGAGATATATGTAACGTCTGTAGAATACTTAGGCATTCCCAATACGTTTTATGCACTGAATTGATTAAAAAAGGTTTCTGATTCTATTTCAGAGAATTAAATTTCTTGCATTTATTTTATTATTAAATTAATATTATGTAAATTGAATGCTCTTTATTAATTGAATTTTCATAGCACTGAATATTTTTATTATTTTTCATGCAAAGATAAGTTAATTCATTAGGTTAAATAATCTTTTTAAAATTTGGTCAGAGATGGAAAAGACGGAGAACTCATACAATTGTATATTGTATTGATATATTGCTTTATTAATACAATATTAGAAAGGAATATTTTTTGCGGATATAATTGTGAGAGCTGATGACGAGATTATATCTTTTTATTTAGTTTGTTTCTTGAATTTTTATTTTTTTAATTTAAAATTTTGGAATTTTATTTTTTTTAAATTTTTTATTATTTTTAAAATATTTTATTTATTATTTTCTTCTCTTGAAAATATATTTACTTTTTCTTTGTTTTTTCGCATTATTAATATATATATATATATACATATAGGGGAGTGTCGGGTACCCCGGCCCACTGTCAATTTCATTGTATATAGAATATTTTTTCATGTCAATGGGCCATCGGACGTTAATTGTAATATTAAAGAAAGATTATTTCCAAAGTTTCAAGTATTTATGCAGCTAGTAACATAGTAAATAATAGTTTTGAAAATATGTTGAATGCAGTAGTCAAATTTTTTAAATTTCTATTTTTTTAAGTTAAACTATTCCTTTTTCGGTTTATTCTTTTTGCATTACTTAATTGGATGATAGAACAATAGAGACATACAAAAATATTGATTATTACTCAATATTATACAGAAATATAAGCAATACTCCTTAAGTGGGCGGGGTTACCCGACTCTCCCCCATATATATAAGCTTGTCAACTACTACGTTATATTGCACAGTATTTTATAGAGTGGTAGATATTTAAAAACCAAAGCTTTTATAATTTTTAGTAATTTTGGCAACACTTTAAAAGCATCAGCATAGTTGGAGCAGAGTTGGGTTGCATATGAACTCTTAAATCCTTTTTATGTAGTGGTGAGGAAAATAAGTTGAAATAAATAAAAAATAATGCATGAAAACATTAACTTGGCTACCACTAGAATAGAGTTTTACAAAAATCGATGGAAGTTTGCTGTCCTATATATAATAGGACATTTCAGTAATTCGTTGTAAGGATAGATAAATTATTCTAATTTTTATCTGAGACATTCTTCCTGCTTAAATATTTTAAATTATTTTTTTTTCAAAACTTAGCACTCTTTTTATTTTAAAATATTTGTTTAATTTAGAACATGATATAAAATACTTACTGATATGGAGAAAAATTGACAAATTTAAATAGTTTTATTAGTTTTATTTTTTCCCCTTTATAGAAAATCATTTTTTATTTGACATTTAATTTTAAAAATAAGAAAGAAAGTTTACTTACCTTTTTTAAAAACCTATTTATCCGTTCCCCATGCTCCCAAGCCATTATTGGCGTTTGATGACAGTTGATGCCTTTGGTGCCATTATTATAAACCTCTCCTCTTCGAAAGTTGTTTCGAAAGATGTCAGGTTTTTTCTTGAGAAGGCGGTTAAATGCTTCCAGCATTACTCGAGTTGCATCATACATTTGTGCAATGGCAGTCTGAGTCAAAAAAGAAAATAAAAATTGTTTGAGACAGTGAAAAATTGTAAACATTAAAAACGAATGGATTTTTATTTCATGAAGTTATAAGTAACACTTGGAATTTTTACATTGAAATTACTTATTGCAGGGGTTTTATTCTAATTGCACTACATAATGTCCGAAGAAGTTTTTTAGATGAAACATAATTTTAAATTTCTCAGTTATATTGGTCTTAGTATAACAACATAGACTAACTATACGTGTTAAAAAAAATGCGTACGTCCTTAATTTTTAATTAGTTTTTATTATTAAAATAAAATTATGAAAAAAGTGTATTTAGTAATAATTAAATAGTACTACGTTTTTGGAAAAGGTTTTTTAATTTTTTTAGAAAAAAGTTCTTCATTAAATAAACTTATTGTAATTAATTCAAATAACATGACGACAATATCGCTATTTTTGCACATATTTAAATTGCTTTTAATGTTTGGTTCAATAAGTAAGTTTTAAGAAGAAAATTAGCTACAAAAATTATGTAGATAAAAATAATATACAGATTTTAAACTATTTTATTTCTAAACTTAACTAACCCATTAAAACTTGTTGCTCACATATGAACAGGAAGATATACTTCAAAATCGTGGTATATTCGTAACATAAATCTTCATCATCATCATCAAATTTTATCTGGGCACCTGAGGCCGTTAGCGGCCCTTTTCCTATTCGTCTGGAAATGTTGTCTTTAAGGTGGCTCTTTCTGGTAATTGGAATGCAAATTGGCGTGAAAGGGAAATTAAATATTTTGTATTTTGGATAAGATTACGTTAATACAATAGTAAGCTGCCATCGGCCTGAGATTAATGTCCTCTCTTAAGTTTTCAAATTTAAAAATTTTATTGAATCCTGCGGTGTCGCAATTCATGGTTTTTTCAAAAAATTTGTTATTTAGCTTTTTGATATGATAATCTAAAAAATCTATGTTGAGATCGTGATGTATGTTCTTATTTCGAATAAACCATCTTGCTTGTGTTATTTTTCTGAGAATTTTGTTCTGGCATCTTTTGTGTTTTTTCAGAAGTGATGTGGTGATGTTGCACTAAGCACATAAATCTTCCTATTTGGGCCTGTAATCATTCATTTGTGATTTGTTTAAAAAGTACATGGCAGCAAAAAAATACGAATTGACTTAAATAGTAAGTACTACCAGACTTTTGTAATAGCATTTTTTGCAAAAGAGTAAGAGTTATATGCTGCATAAAATTTGTAAAAATTTAAGTGTTAATGGGTAAAAAGAATTTCTTGGAATATTTTTTCGCGAAGTTTTAGTTAAAAACTAATTATACTACCTTGTTGAAAAAAAGAATTTGGAGTTTTAAATAGACAAATATTTCAAACAATTATAAAATTATTAAAATTATATATAAAAAATTACACAAATTGTGCCACTCAGATGCAAGTATTAAGGTTAATGAATACACGTATTATTTTTTGAATAATTTGTGAGATCAGTTAAAATCATTTTTTCAAATTCTAAGATAACTAGTGGACAAATGCATTTAATTTTTTTAAAGAAAAACTCTGCATTTGTTGTTATTCCTACACAGTATATACGAGTTTAATTAGAGATTGACTAAACATGACTTAGCAGTGAAAACAAAGCTGTTATAAAATCACAAATGTTAAAAAATAGTATATCATTTGTTTAAAAGCATTTTTTTATAACTAAAGATTCTTCTAAAACCTCAGTCATTCTGCTATGAATAATTGTCAGAACACTTAGTACTTAATCAGACCTAAAGTCTGCAGAAAATCCAAATCAAATTGAAAAAAAAAATATGTAATTCAGTATTTTTTTTAAAAAATTTTTGTTCTCTTTTTCGTTTGAAGTAAATGCAAATCACTGTTCCATATATACTAGTCTACATTCTAAAATACTGTCAGAGCTATCTATTTGTTTCCATGACAGGCGTAACTAGATACGCATTTGACAAAAAATTTGATAAAAAGCTTTGACAAACAATTTTTACTTAAGCAATTGAATTATATCACAGTTTCTTCGAAAAGTAAAACACTAATTTTACTTTCGCAAATATTTTTTTCAACACTTAAGTACATGTTCCACTTCAATTTTAAACAAATTAAATCATTTTTAAAACAGCTCATTTTGTGTAATGAAGGATACTGAGAGTTTCCTAGTAACAATACCGTTCATCAAATTAACCCTCCTAGGACTTAGATTTCTCAAACTTTAATGCTTAAAAGTTTTTTACTTTTCAAATTTTTGTGCTGAAATAAGTTACATTTATCAATTAGTATTTAAACTTTAATGGATTTCCATGCGTATCAACGAAAACATTTGAAGACATTTTTATTGATGTGATTTAATATATTGTTAGAAAATCAATTGTTATGAAACTGTATTAAATTAGCTTTGTATTAAGTTATTATTTCTCAATATACATAACACTGGTAAGAAATTCATAACAAACAGTACACAATATATACATTTTAAAAAATCAACAAAAAAAAAATAGTGGGTCATTAATTTGAAGAAAAAAAATGTAGATCAAGTCTAATTTGCTTAATAAAATTTAAGATTTTTTTAAGCAAAACTTTTTTAAGCACATATTTACAATAACAACTGTCTTGAACATTCTAAGCTTTCAATTTGTTTTAAAGTTAGCTTAAGGCATAGCAAGTAACATAAATAATAATATTTTAGGGTAAGAGAGGTTTCACTTATGCACTTTTTTTGTTGGCTTGTTGCTGCATTTGTTATGAGAGTCACATGTCATTAATATTTACAAAACAATTTGAGAGACAATTATTTTAAAGATTGTACCATTTTTTTATTAAATGTTTTACGAACTTTCCTTAAAATATTCTAGCTAAATTTGAAAAGTAAACTTTTTTTTAATGCATTTTAATATTTTTTAAAATTTAAAGACAGATTAAATATTTTAATAACAATTTACTTAGAATGATAAATGTGATATACTTATATGAATGAAAGAGATATAAAGTATTTAATTTTAGAAAAAAAGAACAATTAATTAAAAAAATACATAAATGCTTTATATTTTAATAAACTAAAATAAATAAACATTTATAAATAATTTGTAATTGGGCAGAATATGCGGAAAAAAGCTAAAAAAAGCAAACATCGAATAATTAAGCAAGAACTATATTATACTGATGCAAAAGATGAAAAATGTTTTGTTAAAATGCCAACTTTTATTTTTTTAAAATAAAGATTAAAGACATTTTTAAAATAAAGCTAAAAGCACGAATTTTTTTTAAAAATTATATTTTATTAATCAGAACAATTTCATTGTTTTGATATATTTTATTAAATCAGTCGAATTTTGCATGTATTTTATTAAATCAACCTAAAATTTTTTTTCTTATTTTAGTTTGAAAGAGACAATCAAAAGCACTTATCTGTACAACGTAAATGCAGCGAGGTAAGAAAATAGCAATTGAAAACTATATTGTAATCATGTAAAAGTCGAATTATGAAACACAAGGCTTTGTTAGAACGTAAGAAAATGCTAAGTTTCAAAATTTAAAGGAAATAGGTACTATTTTAGTATTAGTTTTTTATTATTTATTTATATATTTTTTATTTTTTTGTTTTTTCTTAAGAAAAGATCAGAAAAATTCTAAAATAAAAGGGAATGGAAAACATATTAGTTCCGATAAAATAATCTTATAAGCTTATATTTTTTAGTAATGAATGCATTTTCATTGTTTTTATCCATATATTTTGTGAAATTAGTCAAATACTATCTTTCATATTTAATTTTTTAAAAAAAATAATCTAAAGCCCATCTCTACGCAGTAAAACAAAAGGTCTAAAATCTCTGACAAAATTTATGACTTTCCAAAAGAAAGTATCACAATATCATATTATTTCGTAGTCGCTGCTCCTTTATATTTTAGAAATTTTCTCAGTCAGAAAATCTACCTCACTAAGTGCTTGAGGCTTGAATAAAGAAAACCATTCACGAAAGAGCCACAGAATATCTCTTAAAAAAGGAAGAAAAGATAAAAATGTCGCCAAAGAAAGGAGAAAATTGTCACCGTAATGTGTTGAGTTCCTCCTCCAGGCCATCTATAAGGATCTAGTGACTTCCAAGCTGCTAAGAATTCTCTCACTTCAGGCCTTGTCTCTTGGAGCATTTGGAATCCAGTGATATTGACAGCTCCATGTGAGAGTAAAGCTGAATTCCAGTCATCTTCAATTATCTAAAAGGGAGACAAGTGTCAATATCTTTTGAAGCCTAAAGAAAATTTCTTACAGAGAACATAATTAATTGAACTAGCTTTAACTTCATTGTTTTCCCTTTTTGTTTAAGTGAATGTCTTTGTTTGAAAAGAATTTCGAAGCAACTGGTACTCGACGTAAATATTTATGAAGTTTAACTAGAATTTGTATTCCTGATTGGAAGATAAATGAGATAATGCTCTTGGAGGTTTTATTTACCGACAGAAATATTCTAATTGTTTCTCCGATGTAATGATACGTGCACGAGTTTAATTAGATAATTATTGATTGCTTGGAAAACATATTTGACTAAACTGTTTTATTTAAAAATCAATAAAATTGCAATTTTAGCAATGATTATGAATCAGTTTCTAGCTAAGTAATATTTATAAAAGACGAATGACAATTTTTTTATGGATTTCTGTACATTTTAAAGGAAAAGGTATGCATATGTGTTAATTTGAATAGTTAATATACTACGGGATAAGGTAATTGAAGCAATGCGATGTCTTACATTTGCATTTTATTTATTTTTTTAGATGGGCTTTAATGTAAAAATGCTGAGGTCACTTACTGTGAAAGCTTCAATGGTAATATTTAGTAACAACATCAATATCTTAATAAAGTATTAAGTAATGGAACTTTATTAAACTTTCATATCCATCAAAAAGGTTATTGGGGTTGTGTTGTTTTACCAAGACTTTTAGCAAAAAAAGAAAGAGAGAAATATGATTTTCACTAATTTCAATACAGCATTACACTCAAAAGCAAAAATATTACATATAAAGAATTGCGTATTTACAATTTGATACTAGTATATAGCAAAACTTTGAGATGTTGCATCTTTCATTAAATATAGAACTTTATGCATTCTAACATTTAACTTTTAAGGAAAAGATTTTAAATAACCTTGGATTCGGCATTTTATTCAGGCAAAGGAAAATTTGCTTGCAGTTTCCAACTTGCACAATATATATTTTTCAGAAAGAAAAATTTAACTATTCAACTATCACACTTCATTTGAAGCTCAAAATATGGTTCGTATCTGAGTGCGTTTTATGAATTCAGTTAATTGAGACAAGATTTTTTTCCCCGATTTTATTTTCTAGACAAAGTAATTATGTTTTTTTCTTAGATACAAAGTTATTTTTTATTAATGTTCTGTTATAATAGTTTACTTTTATAAGAAGGCAATAAAAATAAAATGCTTATGAATAGTTAAAAAGAAACAAAATGCTATATCTTCTTAAGCATTTTGAATGTTCAACTCCTTAGTGTTTTATTCATAACTATATGAAATTATATTCAGTTTAATCACTGAAGTGTAGGATTATAACTATTCCTCTTCTTCCTTTTTATGAAACAAAAATAAATTGATATGAATTTTAAACATTCTAAAAAGGCTCATCATGAGAATTTAACTACTATATTTCGAGAAAAGTGAAGCATAAAAAGTTTTTTTCTTCAAAATATTCTTTTATTTTGTATTTTAAATGGAATTTTCTTTATAAGTTTTACTTTCTTATACATTATCATATTACTTCTTTGCAAAATAAAAATACATTTTCAGCACACATTAATCTAGTTATTTTGATGCTGCGTCATTTTATAAAATAAAATGCTTGTTAAAAAATCACCTAAAATTTAAAAACGTGTCGACAACATTATTTTAGTGACATTTAAGCTTTTTAAGCTTAGTTATAGTTTCAAATTTAATATTTTAGTTCAGGTATAAAAATGCATTTATGCATTTTCTCATTTTATTGTTGTAAAACTTTTTTCCCTCTCAGATTATGCCCGTGAAGTTGATTTTTATGCTAAAGTGATTAGTTTTTTGAAAATATTACTCACTCTTGTATTTCCTTTAAAGTTAATTTAATTCAAATGCATATTCTTATTTTTTTTTGTTGCACTTTTTTTATGTTATTGTTAGTGCATTTCCTAAAACAAGCTTCTCAGTAAAAGAAAGAGGTAGAGAGAGGTTCAGAGGTTTTCAAGTCAGTGAAATCTAATCAAGTTAAGTTGTTCTTTCTTTTGTTTTTCTTTCTTGAAATCTGTTGTTAGGTAATTTGCAAACTTCAAAGAGATATATCATGTAAAACTCAGCCTATAAAAAACATTGAATTCAGAATTTTTCTCAAAGTTATTTATAAATAAATAAATTTTTCGGTGAAAAAAATAAATTTAATTCTTTTATGCTCTTTAAATAAATTTATGTACTAGTATGGCGGAAAAAGAATGTAAAAGTAAGAAAAAAATTTTTAATTTGTAAATTAATTATTACTATTAATTGTATTTTCATGCAATTGTAACTATATCATTGCAGATTTTTAAGAGAAGATAATGTAATTTAATAAAGAAATTTTGAGGTATTTTTAAATAGAAGTTCTCAATATTTGAATTTATTTTTCCTTATATTATGCCAGTTTTCTTTATGCTAAAGCATATACTTGAGTATATTTTTTGAAAAAATAATAGGAGGTTTCTGAAATAATCAATAAAATACAAACAAGTTGATTCGACTTATATTTTCCTTTTTCTTTCTTAAAACCTGTCATTAGATAATTTGCAAACTTCAAACGGGTATATAATGTTTTACAGAGACTTTAAAAAATATTGCATTTAGGGTATATTTTTTTCTTTTTACTAAAATTAATCTTTTACAAGTTTTATTTATTACTTAGTGTCATGCCATTGATAAACATTGCATTATTTCAAGATTTTAACGTCTTTAAACTCTAAGATTTATGTTCCATCCTTTTATTCTTTCTTAATAAATATATTTCTATAATCCATTTTTCAGAAATAAGCTCTTTAAAAAGGAAACAGTTATTCTTTATTTCGATTCCAACTGCATATTACTTATTAATGAATGTAATATAAATGTATGTAGTGACAGATGAGGCTTAGGTTTCTAGTAGTATGTTAGTTTTTTAAATTACCCTTTATGTTTTATTTTTGATCAAATAATTTAAATTAAACCATCTTTCTTAATCAAATTTGACCTACGTTTTGTTAAATAACCAAATGATGAATCTAACTCTTCGATGAGAGTTAAATATATTGATCATGATATTCCTTCCGTTTTCTCAGTTTTTTTCTGAACTAAAGAATAATAATTTTTTAAAAAAATAATATTTATAAGGAAGGTCATAGTAAAAAGATCTTCATTAACGATGCTAATGTAGCCTCAAAATCTGAAATAATAATTATTTATTTCGGAAAAATATTGTCATCGAAAAAAATGGCATTTTTGACATACTACGTAACTAGTGAATGAGTTCTATTTTCGAAGCTTTATGCTTTATACGATAAAATATGTTTGAAAACAGAGTAAGAAAAACCTATCTAATTGAAGAATGAATAAAAATGCAATTTTTTTCTACACAGTATGATAGTACAAGAAAATGAATATTTCCTCCAAATAGTTATACAACTGTCGGGTAAAATAGCTCTACAAGCTCCAGATCTCCGAAACAAATTAGGAGCAACACTTCTTCCTCACTAAATAACAAAACTTCTATATTACTAATTAACAAACTCCGTACCAAATAACAAAAAATTCAAAAGAAAACAGTAAGAGCAAAGTTATTTTTATTTTAATTCGTTTTTATTTTTTTGTATTTTGATTAAGCGACACAAATTGGAATGGATTTGTCTTTTGTTCTTTTGTAAAAACTCTGGTTTCACAGTCCCCTTAAGGCCTTTACCTCACATGGTCTTTTAAAAATAATTCGAAATACTTGTTTTAAATATTTATATATGTACAGGGTCACAATGACATATTTTATATCTGAACTATTATAAAATACTAGTAGCAGAATATTGATGAAAATATTACATAGCTCTGGCTGTTATACTTGTAGTAGTAGAACTGAGGACATTTTCAAATGTCAACACTTGCTTTGCATATATAGGTGCTATTCTCACAAAAAAAGCACGTCAATTTAGAAATTTATAAGTACACTATTATTCGTATTAAAAATATCGATCCAACTACATTTCAGATTTTTTATTGTAAAAATGTTATCTCAACTAAGAAAAGGATTAGAAAATTTCACAATTCCGAGTCTAAAAAACTGTAGCCATTAACGAGAGAGCTAGAAAAAAAGTTTATAACATTATGCTTAAGCCTATAACCCTTAATACATTTGAAAAATATTTTATCTCACGATATCTAACAGAACGTTCACTAGAGAATCACATTGGCGAAAAGTAATCTTCCTAAGTACAGCAACCTAAAGTAATGTACAGTAAGCCACCCTCAATACATTTTGTTAGCAGTGTTATCTCAGGGAATAGAGCTCTCGCCTCCCAATGAGGTGACCCGGGTTCGAGTCCCATCGATGACTGCTCGATACGAATTCCGCACCCGGCCCACATAGACCACAGTGCATGCATAAAATATCGCCATCGGCAGACGGATCATGCGTTAGAATCCCTTTGAAATCAGACTAATTGTGGGAGGTTTTCATGGTTTTCCTCTCCATGCAAAGCAAATACGTATAGATTCCAGCGAAAAGTCGTCCGCAAAGCAAAATTTCTCCCAATACTTTATACAGGACTTTCCATGTCATCTCGATTGAGTTCAAACCTACGAGGCAACTGAGTTGATGATTGGTAATCGTAAACTAAAATTTGGGAAGACTGTTCAAAGATGTTCATTAACCCCTTCCTTCTCGCTCCCGTGGAAATGACGGGGTGAGGTTTCGCCCTCTATTTCTCGCTCTCGTGAAATTTCGGGACTGGAGTGTTCTGTTGTAATGCGTCAATAAGAATAAAACTAATTAATTTCTTTTGCCCGGTCTTTTTAAGGTAATTGTAGATAGTTAGTTTATTTTAAACTAGATGTCAGCACTAATCAAATACGGGTATTTGGCAAAATAGGCACTTTTATGACCGTTTTTTTGAACATTAACCGATCGTTAAGGGGTTAAATAACTTTTGTTCTAGAGATCAGATTTTCACATACCAAGAAAAATATTAACAGTTCAATGTGTTAATAAAGGCTGTAAGATACTTACAAGACTCGTGACAAGAAAGTGATAATTTCTTCTATTAATATATGTATCTTTAATTTGTTGAATAACTATAGCTTTAGCTATTTCAGCTTCGCAGTCTAATATAACATATTTTTCTCCGTGCCTATCTTGGTCCTCTAATTTTCTAAGGAATTCACTGGCATCACTAGAGTTGGTAATTCTTCTCACAACTCTCATATCAATTTTGTCTTTTTCTGTTGTTAGATGAAAAATTTGTTGCAATTTTAGAAGGCCTGAATGAAAATAAAAAAAATATTAGTTTGATATAGCAAATATATTATATTATTAAAACAGATCATTATATTACGTACAAGCAAAAGTTTGTATGATTAATAAATAAAACGAAGATAATGATTCATGTTGCCAAGATTCTGAATTATTGCCTATATACAGAATAGAGTAACACAATATTTAAAAAAAAGATAGAACTAAATTAAACTTAGTGGCATGGCAGCCCATTTATTGCCAAGGCCTGCTGTACTCAATTCAGTTTTTTGCCGTTGCACTCTAGAGCCTCTGGTGCCGTTTGTACAGTTTATGTGGTGCTCCTAAGGTGTAAGCACCAGTGCTTAGCCTCCAAGCAGTTTTGGTACTCATTTAATGAACCACTGAAGGGATGAAAGTTTGAGCCAACTTTACCCGGTCAGAGGATTGAATTCCGAACCACTGAACCTCCAGGCTTTGAATAGTAGACAAAGATCTTTATGAATTCAAAAGGGAAGCTAATGAACTTGTCCATTTAGTTTCTTAATCTACAATTTATAAAAACTGAAGCATATTCTTTCACAAATAAAAATAAATACTAAATATAGAAAAAGATTTTCTAACAATTAAAAATATTTCCCATTTTAATTTTGAGTTATTGAAAAAAATATTTAAGCATGTAAATTCACAATAACGTGCCTAACTTTTACGAAATACTAAGTTAAATTATATTGTTGCGCAAGTTATGCAGAATTTTTTTTATAAGCGTTCAGTTATACTTTTCAATTGCTTATTACCAGATGTCCCAAAGGAGGCAAATGGATTTTGAAAATAAAAATAATAATAAAGAGAAAATAGAGTGCGGTAGAAATGTTTGGTTTGCGGCCTTATGCTTTGAAAAATTATGGAATTTCATCCCACTGCATTGCAGACTTAGTTAACTTCCCTTCGAAAGATGGTTGTGCAGGTTTGCCTGAGTTGCAGAGAAATTGAATCCGCAGCATCCCCAGTCGGTATTTTGCAACGGAATCAGTTAATGAGTGCATAATAAGACTAATATCTTTTCCGTAAAGTAAAAATTAAATGATTATTTAATTACCCCAATGAGTTATAAAATGCATAATTAAATAATAAGCTTTAATGAGTTGGTATTTTTCTTTCTCATTTTTTTATTTATTTCAATTTGATTTAAAAATAAAAGTATAAATAAAATAACGTGGATTAATTTAAAAAGTGAGCTTAAGACATAACATTAAGTTTACAATTTAGCTTAAATGTTAGCATTTCCTAACATTGTAATGTACTTTTTTGGTTGATAAGGAAATTGGAAACTCTGAAAAATCAACGTTCCAGTATTTTTATTTGAAAAATGCAATTTTTCTTCCTTATTCTTTTTTTTTAAAGAAAAATAACTTAATGTATTTTTTGCACGCAACTCATAACGCTCAGCTTTCAGTATATGAAAGTATCCAAGAAATATATTCAATAAAAACCGAAAAGAATTTCAAATATAGTGAAGTGACGTAAAAATGTCGAAGTAAGGATGCGTTGAATTTTTTCTAACAAAATGCATTTAAAATATTCTGCTAAAAGCATATTTTTTTTATCTATTTTCTATTTTTCTTTTCAACTGAGATGAGAATTGAAATATGTATCTATTTTTTTTTGTCTGTTGGGGTGCTCAATTTTCATTTTTTGTCGTTGCTTTTTTGACAGCAAAAAGTTTGGCGAACTTGTGAGAAAAGAAAACGCATTTCTAGAGCGCGTGATATATGGAAAAGCTTCTATAAAAAACGAAAAACGTGAAAGTTTAGAGAAAATTCAAAAGTAAAGACAATAAAAAGAAATGAAATGGATTTTAGATTTAGAGGAAACATTTTTTTAACAAAAATATGGGAAGGAAAAGCAAAAAAAAACCATATTAAAGTAATATTTTAAGCAGAGGGAAAGATTTATGTGGTTTCGCCGACATTTTTGACCTTATTTTCTTATGAAATATTTATTTTGTCGCGTGTTGAATTATCAGTGGAATGTTGTTGGCCGACCAATATTTATAATACGTAAAATGCTTCATATCTGCATTTTAAATATATTTTTTTCTCGCAAAATACCTTTCTGGGTTAAATATATATATATAATTATCTAATCTGTTTTAAATTGAATTTTATGTACATTTTATAATGGAAATTGCTAAATAATGCCTTATTAATTAAACTAAATCTGAGAAATTAGAATATGAAACTAAGAAATGGGAAACTAAACACGGAAACTCCTAAAATCTCGAAATTTTACTGTGATTTAATATTTTGAGTTATAAGTATCCAAATAGAGCTTTTTAAAATCTTTAAAAAAAGACGTTATATTTTACTATAAAATATCTGTTTTGCAGTGATTCGTTAAACTCATGTAAGTAATTGAGTTAAAAATAATATATTTGTTAAAAAAAACTACATTTAATTTTTTTAATTTGGTATAAGTGATAATACTGACGCCATTCTTATTATAATATCATTTTAAGAACCAGAGACAGGAAATTAAGAAAATAACAGTGACTTATTGGTCCATAAAGAGCTATGTTTCTTGGTTGGAGTTTCTCTCACTAATCTTTAATTCAAGTCTGATTTGTTTTATTCCATTACTTTTTATGAATATCTAGATTTACATTGGATATTGTGTTTTAAGAACATGTTTAACTCTAATCATAGTCATGCTTTGTATATTACTCATGGACACAACTCTAAAAAAAATTTATTCAATACATATTTGTGGACTTATTAGAATATTTTGAAATGTTTAAGCTTTTAACTTATAGGCACATTTCCTTTAATTTTTAAATATACAATTTTAGTAAATATAAAATTGTTTATTTCATTTTTCTCTACCATCATAAATTTTTTTTCAGGTTGTGACGATACTACTAACAGTAATATTTATTACATTATCCTTTCTTTTATAAATACAATATTGTTTTTTGATGTTTTTTTTCCATATTATAATATTTTAAATTAAGTGTAGCTTTTTCATTTTATTCATAATTTTATTTAAGTGATTGAAAACCACTTATATAACTTAATTGGATATTTAGTCATACACATGTAAATAATAATAAGGTATAATTCGCATTGGGTCTAAAAGTATGTCTCTCAAATGCTCATCAAACATTTTTATGTTAAAAGAATTATATAGTAACGGAATTTTAGGCAGTTTGAGATAAAATTTCCAATTTTACTATTTTTTGCTAATTAAATACAATATTCTTTATTATTTATTATGCGACTTTTTATTTAAACTATTTTTGTTTGGCGAATCAGACGATAAATTTCATTAATGAGTTTTGCTTTCCAATAAATTTCAAAATAATACAAACATTGGAGTAGTGTAGGAAAATGTTTCGAATTTCATTTGATTCAACATACATTGTCTAAACAGAAAAGTCAAATATCAACTAAATANATACAATATTCTTTATTATTTATTATGCGACTTTTTAATTAAACTATTTTTGTTTTTAGAATCAGACGATAAATTTCATTAATGAGTTTTGTTTTCCAATAAATTTCAAAATAATACAAACATTGGCGTAGTGGAGGAAAATGTTTCGAATTTCATTTAATTCAACATACATTGTCTAAACAGAAAAGTCAAATATCAACTAAATAACAAAACGGTAGGTATTTTTTGTAGTTAACTATTAACCTCCTTTTGAGTTTCAAATATTTTAAGTATTCTCAATTTTTTTATCCTATTTAAATAGTGACTAATTAATCAAATGGTAGTAATTGCTTGTAGTCGCTATTTGCATTATTTTTTATTTTCAAATGTTTCAAGTATTTCTAAAATATAAATCTTATTCAAATGGCAATTATCTAATCAAATGCAGTAGCTATTTGCCGTTAATTAATTGCATTTACTAAGTTTAAAATATTTTAAGCATATTCAAAATATAGATCTAATTCAAATAACATCAAATTAATCAAATAGCAGAAATAACATTAAATATCCGAAATTGGATACTTGCATAATTTTAAATAATTTAAGTATTTTCAAAGCGTAGACACTAATAAAATAAGAACTAATTTATAAAATAGCAATTATTGCGTGTCCTGGATTTAGAAAAAAAAATAAGAAAAAAAGTACGGAAAGCTCTTAAAATATATGATTTCCAGAATATTTTATTCCACATTTTTGCAATATTTTATTGCAAAACTCAATATTTTATTGCACATTTACTTAAACTTCTCGCTAATAGGCGGCGCTGTAGAATAGGAATAATTGCAATTGAAACATTTGAAAATTGCGTCTCGTCTGTACACAGCTTTGATCCAGGCTGTGATGCTTCAAAACGATGAATATTTGCTGCTCTAATTTGCAAACCATCATCAAAATTCTTCAGAAGTGCTCACTAACTGATTTCGTTGCAGAATACTGACTGGGCATGCCACGGATTTAATTTCTCTGCAGTTCCCGCACGAGAACCACGCCACCTGTTGTCGGGAAGTTCAACTAAATGTGCAGTGTTTGTGATATGAAATTCTCCGTTTTTCCAGACATAATACCGCTAGTCATTTTTATCGCATTCCGTTCTTTTTCTTATTGATTTTGAAAATCCATCGGTCATTTCGGGATACTCATTATTTGTGGTTAAAAAATTTAACCATTAATTTAGTTTCAAATATTTTAAGCATACTTTTTTTAAATATAGGCTTAAATCAAATAACAATTAGCTAATCAAACAGCAGATATTGTTTAATATTGTCATTTAGTAGAAATTCAGCATCAGCATTTATTTTTCAAATAATTTGGAAATTTTCAAAATATAGATCCGAATCAAATAACAGCTAATTAATATTAGAGGAGCAAATATTTGTAGCTAACTATTTCAATTATTGTTTAGTTTCGAATGTTTCAAATATATTAAAGTATATATCTTAATCAAAACTAATTAATAAAATAACATCAATTATTAATAGTCAACTATTTTTATTAAGTTTCAGTATTTTTTAAAATAGAGACCATTTTTCCTT